GGGCGACGCCCCGACGAGTGGTCAGATTTCCCCGACGAAACCAAAGTGGGCGTGGTCGAGCTTCGATTAAAAGGTTTCGAAAGTGGTCCTGGGGGCGAAGCCCCCGAAAATTTAGACAATTTAGGTGTTTCAAAGGCTTATTTAATCGATTTTAGAGTCTACAAATATGTAAAAAACACATAATTTTTTTTTCTCCCCGACGAATTGTGCTTTTTCTCCCTAACGGGGTTGGGGGGGCCAGCTCTCCCCGACGGGGGCGCCACCCCTGAATAACCTGTGTCTTTCTCCCCTCAATACAAACTTTCTTAACTCATAACATTGCATATCTTTCCATCAGCTGCTCACTTCATAATATTGCATAACCGTCATATATTGAATAAACCAACAACACATTCCTGACCACTTGACCATAAAAATTCCTGCAAAATTCATCCTTTTATAATTATTTATTTACATTTCCATTACTGTTTATTGAATTTAGTTGGTTAATTGACATTTTTTCCTTACATTTATATTCACCACTGCATTCCCAATACATTTACCGGTAACATTTTGAAAATCGTCGCGTAGTCGTCGTCGTCGTCGTAGTAGTAGTAGTAGTAGTAGTAGTAGTAGCAGTAGCAGTAGCAGTAGCAATGTAGAGATTTAATATCAAAGATAAAACCTGCAGAGAATGGAAACAAGCAAAATATACGATTATCAACGACCACTAAAGGTGATATACGAATGTATTCGTACTCACCAATGTTAACCAATTGAATTGTTTGATCTTCAATGAATCTTAGTGATATCGCTACATTTTCCATCTTTTGTGATTTAAACAATGGTCTTTTGCTGTAGCGACCGATCTTTTTATGTGTCAATACCTGAAGCAGTGCTATTAACTTGAGACCATCGCGAAAATCAGTTTCTAAATTATAAACGTATAAATCCACGGCTTTCAAGTGTTCATTACACCATCTCGTGAACGTGTTCTGTTGTATTTTCTTCCATTCAGAATCAGCAGACGTAACATCTTCTTTTGCCATCGTGATTACACTGCCGTACTGATATAGAATGGCCAGGGTGTAGTTATCAGAGAAAATGCATCACTATAATTGGATTTTCGTATTGATATGTAAAACATGTTGGTCACAGTTCTTGATCTTGCACACAATGCTGGCGAGGACGTATCCAATACATATCAGTTACAGTAGTTTCAGTGGCGTAACGATAGTGCCGGAGGCCTTGTGGCTTCCTGAAACTGGGGGCCCTCTTTGGGTCCCGGTCGCCAATTCCATCGTGGAATTTTAAATGCGCTCGTTTTTTAAATCATGTTTGCATTGTTATCTAAATATTTTAACGACGAATAGGCTAAATGATATAATATCAGTGGCGAATCCAGGTATTTTAAATAAAGGTGCCAGGGAGGGACTTTCACAGTTGGAGAGTCTATACCACCTCAGCACCACCATGGTTGGGGATGAGGTACGAAAATTTGATTATGGCACCTCTAGATGGCCGGAAATGACACTCACAGACATAAAATTGTGAATATAATTTTCATTTATCTCAATTTAGAAAATATTCTGACAAAGTTTGTGGGGCCCCGGGTTGGGCAGCACCCCCACCCCCTCTTTATTCTACCACTGGATAAAATATGATATGCCTGTATGTCCTACAGTCGATTTCAGACAGAGACACATTATGCTGTTGCCCTGGTGGGGCTGAGATAAGAAAATATTTGATCATGGCACTTCTAAATGGCCGGAAATGGCACTCGCAGACATAGAATTGTGAATATAATTTTCTTTTTATCAAATTTGGTGGGTCATGACTGGCATGCATAGTCGTTACGCCTTGACGCCACTGAATAGTTTATACATGGAGAAAATATAATTGAGCTCCAGTACCCTCCATGGAAATTTATTTCCAAAACGCTACCGTATTTTCGTATTGATTGTAAAGAAAGGTTGGTCACAGGTCTTGATCTTGCACACAATGCTGGCGACGTATCCAATTCATATCAGTTAGTTTATACATGGAGAAAATATATATTGGACTTAGTAGTAGCCTACCCTCCACGGAAATTTGTTTCCAAAACGCTACGGTACCGTTAGGGTGGGAGAGGAAACGAGCTCCATTTTCTCCCAACGTGAATCTGCCAATGTGTAAAAATATTGCTTTTTAAATCACAATATTACAGGCCGAGGAATCCAAAATTTTTCAAAATAAGTAATTGGGGGGGGGGGACGACAATATTTTCAGAATACTATGTGGTTAACGCTAGTAGCAGCCTATGGACGCCAACGTTTTCATATTAGACGTAATTTCAACAAAATATGATAGAATTAATGCCTACTTATTATTGTTATGACTAACAGTATCAGTATTATATAGCCTATACATAAAAATTATATAGTGGCAATCCAGATATTGGAAATAAATGGGGGATCAGGTAGCAAATTTCAAGTGGCAAAGGGGATTATGGCATCTCTGATGGCCGGAAATGACACTCAGACTAAATATTTGAATATTTATAAAAAGTAAGGGGAGGGACTGACCGACTGCCCCCTTCCCCACCCCCAACCCTTTAATCTGCCACTACTAAAAGTCGAGTTATATTGTAATTTATCATCTGAAACATTTGCTAAACCTGGTATTGGTCACTTGGCTGTATGATTAAGCTAAATATAACGTTAACATAGCAGTGGTGGATCCAGAAATAGAGAGGGCACCAGAGAGGGTTTTTCAAAGATGGAGGATAGACACCCTCAGCCACAAACTAGGTGGGGGGGGGGCTGAAGTAAGAAATTTATAACACCATGTCCAGATGGCCGGAAATTGCATATTTGAATATAATTTTTTTTATTTTTTTCTCCATTTTTATTATAATTTTTAAAAATGTTATGGAGGCCCGGTCCTTGAATCCGCAGCATACAGAGAATGGGGAACCGATTTAATTGTATGCGCGGGTAATATTGTGCATGGGGGTTAGAAAAATAATTATTGTATGACTGGCAAAGACGTGTCTTGTCTGCCCCACTGATCTCTATTATTAAGTAGTTATTGTAGTAGAGATGCAGTTATAGTCTGCCCATATTTCTATTGGTTACTATTCCATAGGTACGAAAAATATCACCTAGAGTAGTTTTTTAATAAGGAGTGGTGTTTGAACAGCACAACTGCAGCATACTTGCCAATCAGTATTTTTTTTCAACCTCTGAATAAGGTGCTCAGTCACCCCGTAAATGCCACTGAAAAGACAGATACCAATAAATTGTATAATTATCTATTACAAAAAATTGAAACATTTGGTATTTGTATTTTTTTTTTTTATTTCAATACGTAACATTGACATTCACTGAAATTAAAAAAATTAGTGGCAAAACTGGGGGGAAGGGGCATGCCTGCCCCACCAACCTACTGCAATCACAGTAAAAGTGGTTGGATCGGCAAAATGATTATTTGGACAGAGGAGAGAGTACCCGACCTACAGCTGCCGCACCCCGAGCCGCCACCACTGGTTGAATAGATATTTTAGCCAATTATTATGTCTACATCAATATACATCGCTATAGAATTTAAAAATCTATCTATCAATATGTATACTTGAGTATATTTAAGTGATCAGTGGCGTACCTATGGGTGCTTGTCCCACTCCCAACTAAAAAAAAAAATTGCACAACCCCCCCCCCCCCGAACTTCATTGAGCTAAAGTAGAAGAAAGTCTCCACATATCACCATATTTTGCGAGCTAGCACCCACTCACTTCACCCTTCCCCCTTCTTTTCAAGACTCCTAGATAAGCCACTGTACGTGATTTGTTGTGAATTACAGTTATTTATAGTTTCAGTAGGCAATGATTTATTTAGTAATTTATTTTACATTATTTGAACAGTATTTTACAAGGTAAATAATATGTACAGGTACCATGTTTTGTGACACAGTCCTGTAGATGACATGCAATATATGCTAATTTATTCGTATAGTTTTTATATATTTATACTCTTTTTACTGCGGTAAACACTTTTAGAGAGCCTTTGGGCATTTGTTAATGCCCCACAAGCAAAGGTTTTCTTTTTTTCTGTTAAAATGTTTCAGTTCACTTTTTCTTATAGCATATAAGCTCTTGTGCACTCATTACCATACTACCAGCAGTACAGTAATTTTATATTATACGACATTCAAAAGCAGAAGTTCCGGCTGTTGCAGCTCCGGCAATTCACACCACCATGGTGTTACCATCTTGTAGTTTTAATCAGTTTCTACTTTATATAGTACACCACACATTTTTTTACTACTCGGGTAATGAATTCATAAAATGTCTACAGGTTCATAAGAAATAAAATATTAGCCTATACAAGCTATGTAATAAAGGGGTTAAAAGACAGCTGACATAAACATTTTTTTTATAAAAAATTGTTTAGAGAATACAAAATGTCTTTCTACAATTGTGTATGTAGAGGGTGCTACACAAATGCTCATAATATCATTAGTAATAATAGTATGATAGCAGTAACAAAAATAACAAAATAGTAGTACACAAGCTATAATATATTTTAAAATAGACCATCATCCACTTCAGTATACAGTTGAGTTGAATAATCTAATAATAATAATAATGATAAAGTATTCAACTAGTAATAATAATTATACAATAATAATAATTTGAATAATAAAAGTGTGTATCAAATTGTCTTAATACATAAGCCAGTCTTGATTATTACTATCATCATCAACACTGACAGAAGGCAATTGTCGTCCCTGGACCATCGAGTCTAAACTTTCTGAGCTACTGTATGCAGACGTGCTGCTGCTAATACTTCCGTGCACACGTTTTTTACTGAAAATTCTTGCTGCAAGAGAAAGTCTTGATTTCTTTTTCAGTTTAGATGGATTTGTAGTGGTTGGTGACTGATCACAGCAGGATACATCAATATTCTGTAAAGGTAGTAATAAGGGCGAGACCTTGCCTGACACCTTTAGAAGATCCTGGGATTGAGTAACATTAGGAGAACTTAGAATATTTAGTTGTTGTTGTTGATCATTAGGCCTACGCAAATCTTGATTGGAAGGTTTTGGACTGCAGTTTCGGATGTTAGCAGATTCCTCACTTTCCAGATTATCCATCAACACATCCTGACTGCTAATATTTTCTTCTGTATCACGATTACAAAGTTCATCCTGAGAAAAAAATATGTTCTTTACAGATTGTCTTCTGTTACCCTCCTTGCTACTACCATCTGAGTGATAATTAATTTCAACTAATTTCAGACCTTTTAATTTCTCTTTGCTGTTCATATTTAACCGTATCGTTCCTTTTTCAAATTCCTTCATCTTCTCATCATGCGGAGAAATATTTTCCATGGAACTTCCACCAGATGTGTTAACATAGGAAATAATATCATTTCCTTGATCTGACTCTTGAAAGGTGAGTGTTGGTATCGGATGTTCGCTGTGCTGAAATGTAGACCTCTCACATGAGAACAGTGATTCGTTGACTTGTATATTCTGATTCATATGACCTTCATTTGGTAGAGGTGTAGAGGTGCTTCTAGGGGGAGTAGCGCGAAGTTCCTATAAAGCAAAAAAAAAAAAAAAAAAANAAAAAAAAAAAAAAAAAAAAAAAAAAACAATAATGGTATATTACTTTTAAAAAATAATGAGTTTATTTTTGCTGTACTTTTCCATATATTTGGTTGGAATTTTCTTTTAAGACATTGTCTGCCAAGCATTTTGCCTTGTTCTATCCCATACGCCAAGGCATAAGGGTACCACCATAATGAAAATAATTTCATAGGCATGTTTGTAGCTCGCAAAGTTTAAATCAGCTATTTTTAGATCATTACTTCCTGGTCCTTCTCCGAACATCCAGGGTGGGAGTTTTGTTCTGGTGACCACTGCCAGTGAGTTGACGTGCAGTACAATGGAATGGTGCACAGGTGTGGACGTGAACTCACATCCTTGGTGCCCTCAATAAACCATGTCGGACGTGAACTCGCGTCTCTGGTTGCGAACGTGTTAAAAGTAATTATTCTACACAACTTTTTATTTTTATGTGGAGATCAAATAAGTGAAATACAATACAAATAAATGAATTAATTGAATACATGAATACATTGACAACGTACTTCTTCAAGAGCTGTCACATCTCCAACCCTTTTGCGAATTCTGAGCGGTGTTGACGGCAATTGGGAAGCGCAGGAAGATTTACGAGTAAGCAATGTAGATCCCTTCTTCTGATTGCCAACTGAAATAAATGCAGGAAAATATACATTTATAGGTATTTATGTGTAAGAATGTTAAAAACTTGAACAAAACCAGAGAAATAAATTTACAATTTTAATAATGGAATTGGCCAAAACCAGGGGTCTCAATCTCTCGGAAGTCGCGGAAGCCTCGTATTTATATAATGCCTTTCGTTGCAGATACGAAGCGCTTCTGTCCCTGGTCATTGGATCCACATGCTTAAGTCTTGCTGCTGTAATCAGCGCAGGAGCAAGCAACCCCACCAGGTACACATTATAGTTTCCTGGGTGGAGAGAAGCAATGCAGATAAAGTGCCTTGCTCAAGGACACAAGCGAAATGCACAGCGAGGGATTGAAACCCGACCTCAAGGTTGGGAAACCAAACTTTTCACGCTGCGCCAAACTGCTTCTACTGTCTTCCACAAATTCATAATATTTGCATGCTTTTACTAACTATTTTTATCAATTGCCTCATGGAAGTCAATGCAGGTGGATATAACCATGTGCAGCAAAATAAGATTTAATGTGTTAAGAATTAAAGCTCATTTAGCCAGATATCCTGGAAATCACTTCTTCCAACATTAATAAAGTTAATGGTATACTGTCATGAATTATGTTAATTCTATCTAATATCCACTCTGTATTTATTAGCTAAATATTTGTGTAATAATTTCAAAGAGGAAGTAGACTATGCAATGAGGAAGAAATGAACCAAACTATTATCAGATAAGGAAGGAAAAAAAAATTGTTATTTATGACCTGGTAAAATCAAATTCAACACCCATTAAGTATTATAGCCTACTTATATCTACCAACCATTTTGTAGTCTTGGACTACGCCTCAGATCTGAACTTTGGCTTGATGTCCTCTGTTTCATACATATCCTAGGCATCACCAGCATCTTCACCACGTTAGAGTTTGTCATCATGTCAACAATATCTAAATGGTCCAGTCCGGAGATGTCTTGTCCATTCACCTGAAAGAGGGCGGAGATATTGATCAATGAAAAGTGGATTACATTTTCAATTTTGATCATAAACATTGGAAGTTGTATGTTTCTTAGGACCAAAAATGATCAGTAGTATTACACATTGTACTTAATGGAAAATAATCTACACAATTACCAGTTGATATGATTTCATTATTCACTGTACACATATGGTACTCTTGAAAAGAAGCCCATAGGCGTCTTTTCAAGATAGCATGGGATTCTTTTCGAGATAATACAGTACAGTATAGTAGTACAATTTCAAAGATTCAAAATGTATTAAAAACACAACACACTTGGTTTCACAGTAATTTAAGTGATTTAATGCATGATACACACTGATGTTACAGTGGCACTATTCCTTGTTTTCTGTCTAAAGTTCATAAATTTTTTATAAATAGGGACCAATCAGCTTGTGCTTATTTGTTTTCAACTATTTTCCTTGTAACTAGTATAAATTTGTATACACTTTGTATTTAAACTCAATCAATCCATTTTAAAATGTTTATTTATTTTTAAGTACAGTAATTTTAAATATGCAATGTAATTCCTATTTTAAATTAATCTTAATACATTTATGTAATCATTATGTAATAATTATTAATTCTTTAAATTGTTTAAGGCTTTTTATATATTTTTATATCAGTTTCTATTGTGTGCAATATTCATGTTACTTAATATTTAAAGGTCAACTGACTCTTTTGAATTACAGTAATTGATTTACTTTAGCTGTCCCTGACCATTGTTTTGTTGTTTTCTTATTGTTGTGCTTTTTTTTTTATGGGCAAATAAATAAATGAAATTGGTAGTAATTCCCAGGGCTTCTATTCGAGGTTCACGTCTTTGCAACAGGGCGAGGGTTTGCAATCTCAGATTATCTTGTTATTACTGTACTGTATGTAAAATTACTATACCTCATAGATATTAATTAGGTAATAAAAACATTTCATTGGTCAATTTCAATTCCAATCGGTATGTGGTATATTTTTTACTTCCCTGTGCGTGCATATATAAAGAGACACAGATAAAAGTATGTACAGCTGTAATACTAAAAAATCTAATATCGCGCGCCAGGCTACGTAAGTCGTATTCGAACTATGTAATGTTACCCTTTGCTCAAACAGATGGTTTCCTGTTTAATATTTATGAGGTATAATTCTTTATATTATAATAAAACTTGATACATCAATATTTAAAGTAGAGTAGTAACAGAATATGACATACAATATTACCAATTGGTATGTCAATTAAGTTCAAAGTTCATTATCAATATCCCCTTCCTCTGTATATATAAAGTATTAGGACAAGTAAAAAATTTATTTAGTTTCTCGTTCCTTTTCTACTAGCTGCTGCAAATTCATTTATTTTCAACATCGCAATTTTCCTCAATCACTAAAATTATCACTAATTAAAGGTAAAGTTAGGAAAAGTATGAGAATAACCTATAACTTGCAGCGTCATTGTGCTGAATTGCGTATGAATGTGGTCCATGACTACCTAATGGCCGTAAAGAGGCGCTTATAGTAGCTACATATTCATATCATTCCACAACAACATGGGCTGAAATGAACCACAGCATTGGGGTAACCCCCTACACTTCCGAAAGATGCACTTGGTAATTTACAGTGCACACGAGCCAGAAGTGTACACTGGACCTGCATTTTTAAGTCCTTATCCAACCAAACCCTGGGCAGGAAGCGGCTCGAACCAGCACCAATGTGAAGGCTGTAGTTTTCTTACTTTTCGGCCACTCGACTTGCCTAAAGGTTGTAATTTTTGTATTTCTTGAATTTAGCTTGTGTAAAATAGACTTGGTATTATAACTAGCATAATGACTTGGTCTCTATAATACAGGCCTCATGTTCAAAAAAACTTTTTCATTGGCCTATGCCATTTTTTTGCTGGGGTAGACGGAAAGGGGGTGCAGATGGTGTGATCGCACACCCCCTAAATTCCATTAAGAAAAATAATTGCTGTATTGTATTGTATTATTTTGATCATTATGAAGTACCGGTAAGGTTTTAAAAGTATGAGAGTGCAATTTCCGCGCACCTAGAGGTCCATATTCTCAAAATTTTAAAACCTCAGCCCCAACCATGGTGGGGCTAACCTCAGCCCCAACCATGGTGGGGCTAACCTCAGCCCCAGCCATGGTGGGGCTAACCTCAGCCCCAACCATGGTGGGGCTAATCTCAGCCCCAGCCATGGTGCGGCTAACCTCAGCCCCAACCATGGTGGGGCTAACCTCAGCCCCAACCAGGATGGGGCTGAGGTGGTGTGGACTTTCATTCACCCCCTACTGCCAAATCCTGCATCCGCCCCAATTTTGCTCTATGTAGTAATAACAATAAGATTTATAATAATAAGATTATTATTATTATGTAATATTAGTAATACTGTATTTAAAAATATGGTAAGAGCATAATACAATAAATAACATTTGATTATGATGTCATGCCAACCAATCATTTCACAATTAATCAATGTATTAATTTGAGAAACATATGAAATGATTGCACATTTGGTGCAATGTGTATTGAACGAAATAATGATCACTCCATCACTTTATTCATCATATGGTTTATATTCAAGTCTCTCTTCAGGATTGTCAATCTAAATTTAGTTCTGATGAATGTGAATAGTCTTACACCATACGTTCCATTCTATCGTTTAATTGTTGTGCAGCTAAGGTGTGAAGAGCACTTAATGAACAATGATTTTAATTGAGAATTCCTAAACACACCTGTACAATGAGTTCTCCCTTCTTGAGTCCAGCCCTGTGAGCAGGTGAAAGGGGGTCTACACTTGCAACTATTACAGGTAATCCATAGTCCACACCACTGCAGTAAAAAAATACAGAAACATAATAATAGACTAATACATCAATTAACTGATTTTACAGGATGGATCAACAGAATTAAATGGGTAAACAATGAAAGAAAAAAAAAACAATATATTTATAATGTAGTTTAGGTCTATAGTTACAATTATAAAATAGTCAAATAGTATTTTGCTTCAAAACCAGTTGTATATAGTAAGTGGGATTCGCACCTTGCCTTCCACACCACATATTTGAGAGGGTGTTTGAGAGGGTGTCTGTGAGGGTGTTTGAGAGGGTGTCTGTGAAAGGAAACTTTTATGTGTGCAAATATGAAAACTGCATCACATAACATCCATTGGAAGTCCCTGAACATAAAATTGAAAAAAAGGAAAGTGAATTCCAAACCAGAGCTCCGAGCTCATAGGCTGGCACACCCATTTCCATTTCCTTGTTTTTTATTTTATTTTTTCTTTACACAGGGTGACTTGATCAGTACAGAAGCATTGATATCCTCCAGGGCCCGGGCCCAGCAACACATACAATGGGAACACTAATCAAATGAAAAAAATTGAGAGAAAAGTACAAAGACAATCAATAAAGGCTATAGAAATCTAAAAGAATTCATAATAATCAAAATAATACCAATAATAATAATAGTATAATAATAATAATAATAATAATAATTAGTGTATATAATAACAATTAAATAATAATAATAATAATAATAATAATAATAATAATTTCTCTAAATCGGACTTAAGGGGAATATCTTTTGTGTTATTTTCCCCTTAACGTCATTTTTTTATTTGTTATATAATTGTTATATAATTTCTCCATTGTCTAAGTTCCCCTTAAGGTAGGTTTTAGTAATGTAATAATAATAATAACAATAATAATAATAATGATAATAATGATAACAACAATAATAATAATACTACTATTAATAATATCTCTACTATATATATATACTATAATACTACTATATATATACTGTATATACTATAATATCAGTAAATAATAATAATACTACTATTAATAATATCTATACTATATATATACTATAATATCAGTAAATAATAATAATACTACTATTAATAATATCTATACTATATATATACTATAATATCAGTAAATAATAATAATACTACTATTAATAATAT